GATAAAGATCCATTTACATCCATTTACCACCCACGACATGTCTTCCTACATGTGCTACATCCGATATTTGTTGCTCCCCAGGGCCATGACAACATTGGAAAATCCTGCCAGGACTCGGTGCAACCGATGCTGTGCAGCAGCAATGAAACACCGGAGGTCTTGACCAGCAAACTGCAGCACTGTATGTTGGAAGGTCAAATCATGCAACTTGGTCGAGATTAGCTCGAGATTTGCCAAATTTTGCCAAGGGCCGAAACTTCACTGAAAGCACGGTGCGCAGTGTGACAAGGGTGACAATGAAGAATGCTTAGCTGTCCATTTCCTGTCGAAATGACCTGAAAGGCATTGAAAGGCCACTTATTCATTTGATCTGTGCCTAAGTGTAGCTCCAAAGCCAAAGAGGTCAGAAAAGTTTGGTGATGTCTCAGTCTGGCCGGGCTTGATGTGACTAACTGAGGATTTTGCAGCTGGAAGATCTTGCCAGCTTGCGCGGCTTCGTGGGAACCCTCCTCGTTCTTCTTTCAGGCAAACGGTAAAAAAATCTAAGACTCCGCCAGACAGTAGCCATGGTTTCAAATTGATTTTAGAAAGAAAATCATCAGCAGGTTAATATGAGATGTATCCATATATCACATATCCATATAATATTAATCTATATAATATTAATCCATATTGGCTATATATAGATGGCTATATTGATATTATCATTATTATGTGATCTTGAATGGTTAGCAGGTTAACTTGAGCTCAACTGAGCTGCGTATCCCACTGACCCATCTCCCCGCTGCAAAAGATGCAGAAGAGACCTGTGAAACTACTGTTGGCTAAGTTAGATATGTATATGAATATGCAGATGTTGAATCTCATGACAGTGAGGTTGATACAGCTAATATCTATAAACATATATACGATTATACAATACACTTGTATGATATGATATCTACTTAGATATTATATATACGTGTACATATACATATATATATATACATAGATATTACATACATATATATATATATATATATTGACCATACATAGCTAGCAATATCATATGTCCACATCTCCCATTGGAGGACCCCCACGGATCCACCAGACATTGGTCTGTTGGACATTGCAGCTTCCAAAGTCCAATCCACATATTGAACAATAAGTCCACAATATATTCTATCTTGTTATATTAACTTACATTATATTTGTTCATTGTTTTGATATGTTAGATTTTATTATATATTATATTATATCATATTTTATTATATTATATATTATATATTATATTATATATTATATTATATGTTATATTATATTATATCATATATTATATTATATTATATTGTATTATATTATATTATATTATATTAAATGATTTGCTAATAGACATATATGATATCTTACAAGTATATATATATAATCGATATATCCCCTAAGAGATCCCTAATCCCAAGCCCAACGAAGCCAGGCTCCAGCGCCCAAGTGCGACTGACCACGGAGCGGCACTCGGTGCTCTTTTCGCTCTCGCAACGCTTCACACGGGCGCTGGCCATCAATGTTCCTCGGGACGGCCCCAAAGGATCCAAAGGATGACAGGGGACCTGGGGATGGGTGATCACCAAGGGTTATTACCGTTAATTACCATTAATCACCATTAAATCAGCATTAAACCACCATTAATCAGCATTAATCTTCATGATATCACCATAAATAAACCACCCATGACTGGGAATGGTAACCATAGCACCTATAAAAATGGTGATGACTCGGGGGTGGTTTATTATTGTTTTACCCACATTAATATGATAAACCCCAATAAACTACCAATCATGATACTCATGTTATTTGGGACCAGTATCATATCTATTGATTGATGATAGGAGATGATACTTTCAATGTGGAATTTACCTAACAGTACAGCTACTAAGTATGGGGATATCATGGGATATCTGGATTTTTTTCGGGGAGATTGGGGTTGAATCGTGACTTAACCATCAACAAAAGGAATTTCATGAGGATCTAACGAGGAGATCTGGAAGTTTTGAGACCCGGGGGTTGGTTGAATCCTTCACGTGAGCAGTGGAAACCCTAAACCCCGATGATGGTTGATGATGGTAGGGAATTATACTATCCATACTGGCGATTACTGGCGATGATCAGAATCCAGTGCAATTCTATGAATCAATTAATACTTACCCTCTGGTAAACTAACGTAACTATGGAAAATCACCATTTGTTTAAGGGTAAATCCACTATAAATGGCCATTTTCAATAGCTATGTTAGTTTACCAGAGGGTCGTACGATCGTAAGGTGTAGTCGTTAGACATGGAGATGATGACGGACGAATCACTGGAGTATACTGGAGCCAATTGTTGAATGAAAACAAGGGGATACCGAACAGAAATGAACAGAATATATAGAGCCGTGTGTTTAACGGACCACCACGGGGAATTGGGATGGTTTGCGTGTGGAAAGGAACATGAATCCAACATGGGTAGGTGAACATTCAGCAAATGTGTATATTAACATTATATTAACATTATATATATATATGTATATATAATTATATATATATAGATACACATTATCATACGTGATGTTCATGACCAGGATGTTCAACAAGGCGCCAGGGCTTTGATCAAGTGACTTGTTAAAACCCAATCTGCTGCACTTGTTGCGAGGCGCAAGATGTGGCTGCCGGTGTGGAGGCGGAGAGTGATGAATTGTTGCTTGGCATTGCTTGGCCAAGAGGTCGAAAATATGTAGGAAAGAGCGGGATTTATGCTGATTGATGCATGAACAATAGGGACTTCATGGGATTTGATGGGCTCTCATGGGATCTTTCACGAGAACTACGTGGGTCTGAGAATTGATCGGTATACCCACGAAATTGCTCTTGGTGGGTAAAATGATGATTAACCAGCCGATGGAATGGGGTACTCAATTTTCAGACAAAGCCATATCAATCTCAAGCTTGACTTCTGTCATGGAGGCAGCTACTGAACAGAAGATCCAAAGACTTCAGTCGCAGGGGTCACAGCTTAGGGCCAACTGGGAACCCTTCCGAAACGACCAATAGACTGCAGGGATCCGGGAAAAATGCCCAAGAAACATGGTGTTTTTTTCCCGGAGACGCTGACATGTTCCATGCGGTCACATGGCCATCGGGGAATTGCCCAAATGTGGCTGATCCCATTTTTAATTTTCTTCCTGTTTTCTTCGAGGTGGAAATCCCCATCTCGGATAGTCATTTGAACACATCTTCAATGGGGAATCCGTTGACACATGTTCACAACCATCAATTTTCTGTGTTCAAAGGTGAATTATCGATGGTCAAATCCCAATTTCTACCCATTAAAATCCATTAAAGCATATTAAAACCCATGAAATCCACTACAAAACCCCTTGAAGATCCACAACTAAAAGCCACCCGGAGGGTTTCAGAGTCTGAGTGCAGCCAGGAGGGTCCGTGTCTTCAGCATGCTACAACGCTTGGAAGCGGCCCTACCCATGGTCCATTACCGCTTTCACCTCTATGCGCCTCGGCTCGAGCCGGAGATCTGCTGGGGATAAGGGGAAAAGATCGTGGAAACATATGAAAACCCCGGAGTTCACCAAGAAAAAATGTTGGTTTATCATGGTTTATCTGGATTTACCAGCAAATAAATAAATATCATTATATATATATATAGATAATGATATAGTAATATGTTGTAATATATACACAAATAATCAATTATATGTTTGTATAGAAACCTGAAGAGGTGTTTGTATAGGGGAAAGCATCGTGTAGCTTCAGCTTCGCCTTTTGAAGCTTTGCCCATCGGACGGGAATCATGGGGATTATAGCAGTGAGATGGGACTTATCAACCAGCAAGTGGAGAGGTTGGCCAACCATACGACTGATATTTGTTTGGATTATGCATAAAGTAACTGGTTTTTCTCGGGAAAATGCGATATTAATGATGGTTAGTTATCAATTGATCATCAACGTTCCTGATGATTGTTAGTTTAAATCTACTTGATGGGTTTGATGGCCCGGTCATTGAAAAACATGAGGCATCTTAGCTGCAAAACCTATGCGTACAATATACGGCCCATTGAAGAAGAGAAGCGTTATTCATTTTGGGTATGAACTGTCCAATACAGTATCACAATATTGACAATATCATACAATCTGGGTAAATTATAACGACCTCACTGCGACCTCACTGGAAATCATGGTTAGTAAGGGGAATCATCCCCAAATGGCCTTAATTCAGGTTAGTGAAATATTATAATTTACCCAGATACAATATCAAATTCCAATTGTGGCGCAGAATGGATAATGTGCATGGCTTTGGAAACCATGTCATTTTGCAACTCCGTGGCACGATAATTATCCACCCTTGATAGTGACCGGCAAACAAAAAACAAGTGTGGAATTATAAATTACAACAATATTCACAGGGTTCATCTAATGACCCCGAAATAATTTGGACCCTCATTTGGATAATTGGGATTCATCTAAGATCCCTGAAATGAAGAACGATATGCAATGTTATCCACAATATGGTTGGCGTCAGAAAACGGATGGTACCCCAAGTCACCATAGGTTTTATGATTTTCTTTGGGAGTAACCCCATGACTTAGGAACCTATAAGGGGGTTATATTAACAAATTCAATAGTTGATAACTGTGATTGATGGTTGATATTGGGATTATAGAATTCACATCATTATCATCAACATTAACCCAGTTTAAGCCACATCAATTTTGGGGGTCTTAATCTACATTAACTCACATCAACATTAATTAACCCACACCATCAACTCACCATTAACCCACCATTAAGCCACACAAAAAAACACAAAGAAAGACAGGAACCCAGAGATCCTTGGGGAAAAACGTCCCCCGAAATTTCTGGGGCTTCAAAGGTGATCGCTCCGCGTTGTCATTGGAGTCGATGTTTGTGGGGTCCGGCCAAAACCAAACAGGTGGGGCCTGGGCCGAAAGGAAGATGGGAAGCGTTTAAGGATGCAGTAACTGGAATTATGACTGATGATGATTGATGATGATTTATGATGATTGATGATGATTGATGATGATTTATGTGGGATGTAAAGAACCAGTTACTGTATTTCTTGTTGGGCTCATAACGTCATACAAGCCACTGAAGAAACGTGGCCAAAGCCATTGGCGAGCCCCCAACATTTGCTTGTTTCAAGTTTGTGATACAATGATACAATGATACGTTCAGATTTACATGATGTTACCATTTTACGTGTACGTACATGTACCTATTACCAAGTTAATTCCACATGTACGCGCACATACATTTATAATATGCAGATATTTCGTAGTCTAATGGTATATAAATATGATATGGTATAATATATCACTAGATACATATGTATAATATGTATATATATATATACAGTATATATATATATATGCGTATGTATATTTAATGTATATGAATATCTCCTTCCAGAAATTTCGTGGGTTTTGCCGGCATTGCGCAGGCGGAGCAGTTGATGAAGCTTCCCTCCGCTATTCTTTCCACCTGCACCATCGCCATTTTGGCTGCACACTTCGGGAGACCCGGATGATGATAGCAGTGGAAAGCCTAAAGCCCTGTTGATGATGATAGTCTATAGTCATTTTATAGGGATGTTAACCATCTACACAAACATATGGGGATATAAGTGGATAAAACTCATAAATAGATGGTTGGTTGATGATTAGTTGGGGATACAAATAGCAAGATATTGGAGATAGTCCCGGCCACTCAACCGACCAGTTTTTGGAGGACACAGGGTTTTTTTCACACTGATCACCTGGAGATGGGTCAAAATGGGGGATTTGTTTGATCGTTTCTTGAACATCAATGCTTTGACAAGTGATTTGACAATGGGGGTATTACTTTAAAGGCACTCATGGGGATGAAAATTTTGGGGAGTATTGAAGGGACTTTTGTTCCATTTCCCACCCATTTTGGTGATAGGTGAGAAATCACAAGATTTCACCCACAACTGTGAGGGAGACTTGAATTGGGACCAGCAGTGGTCGTCGTTTTTGGTAGCTCACCAGTCCATCAAATCCATGAAAGGAGCACGGCAGAACGCACCAATGCTTGATTCTTCCCAACTTTTGCACAGTATTTTTGGGCGGACACGGTCGCGAAACAAAAATTAACCTCGAAAATTCTCAATCCATCAGCCCAAACTTGCAGTTCCTGATCCTTATACTGAAGTTCCTGGTTAGGGAACTAAGTATATGGAGCTATCTAAGAGCATGCGGATGTTGTGTTTGTTGTTTGCTGACACTTACTTTCGGTAGATTCTTTTAATACATGCGGTGGGTTCTTGACAGGTGGGATGAAACATTTCTATGATTTTTTATGCATCTATCCATTTATAGACATGATTTGTTTCAACTGATTGGGACTGATTCCATGGCGGTTCAAGTGACCACACGGCCAGATTTCGATGGATCCCCTTCATCCAGCCCAAGTCTTTTTGCCCAGCTTCATGTATGCGAAGGACTGGGCACCGGTCATGTCTGTGTGTCACCGAAGTCATGTCTCATGATCTCATGTCTCAACAAGATTCAAAAAGCCCATGTTGATGGGCGTTGTGTGTGCTTGTTCCTCACTGTATGGTTTTTACCCTCTGGTAAACTAACATAACTATGGAAAACAAATGGCCATTTTCAATAGCTATGTTAGTTTACCAGAGGGTATCCCTTCTATGCACTGCAGCATGGGGTGTGAGGAGGCGCCCAACACGACGAGAAGACGACAGGAACAAAACCTGGTGTTGATGGCACAAGAGACGCGATTGCTGGTTTCTTGGCGGTGAAGATAGATATGGTATGGAGGTTTCCTAAGTCATGAAGGTACCCCAAAATCAAGCTAAATTAGACCATGACTGAGTATTGAAACCCATTGTGACCTGGAAATCCAGCACTTTAAGAAACCTCCATATCATATTTGCCATGGTCAAGTTGCATAGATTGCTTGCCCATAGAAGGGAACTGTTTTAGAAAAAAATAAATCCCATTCATATGGCTTAATATACCCATTGGGTTTGGATTCCCAATATGGGATGAATGACCACAACTATTTACCATGTTTTGACCATGGGATGTTTATGGCTCCTTTGATGTCCTTGAATGGTCCGCTGCGTTTCTCATTTCAGAGCTTGCGGCCACAGGCTGTAGATGGGGTCATGCACAATGTGATGGAACACCATTGTTTTTTTTTTCGGGTTACCCTCTGGTAAACTAACATAGCTATGGAAAATCACCATGTTTTATGGGTAAATCAATTAATGTGAAACTGCATGTGAAACAGCAGTGACATAGCATTCCACCTTTGCAGCATTCAGTCTTGCAGACATTCCATGCGCATCCCAGAGCGCTCTTTTGCCCAAAGAAAAAGGTGCCTCACTTCCCGCTGGCCGCTGTCGGGATTTTGATGGTAAGCGGAGCCCTGTTCACTCAGGGCCTCTGCTAGCTGGTGCCTAAGGTTCCAGCCCCTTGCGCTCGCTGTGCAACCTGCTGGCAGCCCTGCGGCACCAGCCTCCCACTACTGGTTGGAACTTCACCATTGAAGGTGTCTACAAGTGTCTACAACCTCCCATGACTTCCTCTACTACCTCCAAGATCGTTTGCGATCGATACGGAGTTCCTCAGTATGCTGGCGAAGTGGAAGCTTTTGAAGAATATGTAGAGCGTGCCTGGGACTTGTACTTTGGAAGAGAAGGTCAGGAATCCCAGGTGTCCACTCCGATCCACCTTCGCTCAGGCCTTACAGGCCATGCATACGAAGCTGTCAGAAAGCTGGAGCACTCAAAGCTCCGAACTGCGACTGCTGAAGGAAAAGCCACTGAAGCGGGAATGAAGTTGCTGATTCAGACTCTCAAAGAGAGCATAGCAGCTGAGACGCCAGTGAAGATCAACGAGCTCTTCTTCACTGCCTTCTACAGCGCTGATGTCTGGAGAAAACCGCAAGAAAGCATGCAGCAGTATATCATCAGAAGGGAGCAGGACTTTGCTCGTCTCAAGGAGTCCTCCCAAGAGACCACCGTCAGTGACAACCTGAGGTGCATGATGCTGCTGACTTTCAGCGGGTTGGATCAACGTGAACAACTAGGAGTTTTGGCTTCTGTTGGAAACGAGTACGACTTCAAGAAGGTTTCCCATGCGCTGAGGATCCAGTTTCCTCAGATCAGTGGCAAGCCAGTGTTTCGACGTGACTATCTAGGATGTGCACGTGGAGGTGGTCAACATGGCACTATGAAATCGGCCAAGTGGAAGGTCGGTCAGGGCAGGTTCAAGCAACATGCCTTCCTGGCTGATGATCAGGCCGAAGATGATGAGCCTGAATTTGATGGCGATGGAAATTACGAAGATGATGACGCTGAGGTTGAGGACGACGAAGCAGATGACAGCTACCTCACCTACAGCGACGATGATGGCCTTGATGCTTTGATTCAAGAATGTGGTGGATCGCTGGATGATCCGCAGGTTGCGGAAGCCTTTGCAACTGTGGCTCAGTTCAGAGCCAAGAAGAAGGGTTCTGGGAGGAGAAAGCCACAGTCCAGTGGCAGCAGCCATAGCTACCCGTTCAAAGCTCATGGCGACATCCAGTTCGACACCAAGGCCAAGGAGAACCGGAAGAACGCCATCAAGTTTCTGAAGAGCATGTCAACCTGCACCTCTTGCAACCAACGAGGTCACTGGGTTGGAGATCAAGAATGCCCCAGTTTCAAGCCGAAGGGGAAGGGAAAGGGTCAGAAACCAAAGAAGTCAGGATCTCCGAAGAAAGCCTCTCATGCCATGTTTGTTTTGCACGATAGTTTGGAATCTGCAGATGAGAACGAAGTTCGTTTTGCATCCTTTGGAAAGCTGCGACCTGTGCACTCCAACTTTGAGCCCAATGCAGCCCTTGTGAATGACGCAGCTCCTGGGTATGACATCCCTCCAAAGAATGCCAAAGCTTTCAAGCCCTCCGCAGTTCCAAAGAATGACATGGTTTTTGAGAATGCCAAAGCCCCTGACGCCACTGCAGTTCATGTGAATGCCCTGGTCCCTGAAACCTTTGCGGCCAATGTGAATGCCAAGGTTCCTGACTCCAACGAGTACAAGGTTGATGGATCTCAGAACCAATGCACTGCGACAGAGAAGAAAGACCCTGCCGTGCCTGATGGACCAAGACTTGCCGATGACAGCAAAAGTTTCACCGATACAAGTTTTCATGCGGAATGTTTCATGGTCTTGAAAGAGACCCAGCACTGCGAGCATCTGAGCTACTGCGGCGGAGATGAGAAGCAAATCCACCGTGGTGCGAATGGCCACACTCGCCATTTGACCTGCAAGCAATGCGACAAGACTGTGATTTGTGGCCGTCGCCGCGAAGCTGTCCAAATGTGGTCATACCTCGTGCAGGTGGCTTTGTGCACGAAGTTTGGCAGCAAGCTCAGATCGACTTTGATTTATCGGATCTGCTCCAGCGGACTCACAAAGATGCTGGAGGACAAAGACAAGCAGAAGGCTCTTGGCCATGTTGCGTCCCCTGGCAGCCCTGGATGGAGTGTGATTCCATCTGAAGCTGACTCCAGTCAGTTAGGCCAACGTGGCTATCCTGATGTGCCACGACTTCCAGCTCGGAAGACAGCAACCATTGTGAGGTCGCCTGAGACCCAATGCTGGCTCTTTGGTGTGCTGCTCGCTCCAGGTGTCGATTTGCCGCCGTTTCCGGAGCTGAAGCCTGAGGATTTGGATGTTTTGCAGCCCTTGCCAGGTGACGACACTGTGATGCCTGAAGGACCATTTCGTGGCTACAAGTTCGTGGACATAGCCACCAACTTTGAGTCCGAGCCCTACTGCAAGCAAGTGATGCACATCGCACTCAACCTTGAGCCTATGTCACCACCTGTTTTTAGGCTTGCTTCGTACTTGTATGTTCGGTTGCAAATTGCCTGGCAAGCTGGTGTCAAGCTCAGTGGAACTGGTCAGGTTCTACCTACTGGCAAACGTCCTTTCAGCCCTGAGGACATGTTGACAAGCCGGACCATCAAGGTTCCCCTGCAGCTGGATTACTATGATCCGAGCTCTCTCAAGGTTCATGAGTGCGAAGTGATGATGGTTGATGAAGACCTCAACTATGAGGCCTATGCCGTGCAGCCTGCAGACCCACCTGGTCTTGCCATACTGGACTCTGGGTGCAACCGCACCATGCACGGCGAAGAATGGGCCAAAGCCTATGAAGAGAAGCTCGCTGAACTTGGACTTCAACCTTCAATCCGAAACAAGACCCAGCTGTTCAAGGGGATTGGAGGACATGCTGAGTCCAAGGTCGTCAAGGCCTACCCTGTTGGACTTGGTGGAGTCAATGGCGAGCTCCACTCAGCAGAAACACCAGGAAAAACACCAATGCTGATTTCACGTCCTTTCATGCAAACCCTCGGCACAATCATCAACCTTGGCGAGGGGACAGTTTCTTTTTCAAAGCTCAACATCAGAGATCTTCCCTTGAAGAGAACCAGCCGTGGCCATTTAGCCATCTCTCTTTTGGACTTTGATTTGAACACTATGTCAGTTTTTGATGAGCTGGTCAAGGGATATGATGAGTTTGATGTCAATGCGGCAGAAACTGAGGCCTTGGATTTGGCTCCTGGATTTGAGCCGGCCTCTGAGGCTATTGGATTTCCTGCTCTTGGACTTGAGCAAGCCTCCGAGACCTTGGATTTGGCTCCTGGACTTGAGCCGGTCTCGCCGCCAAGTGATGCCCCCAGCCACGACGATGGACTTGATCCGGACACCAGGCGCGAGTCACAAGATGCCTGGGATGTCGTTTTTGGCATCGATGAAGCTGAGTTAGAAAGGGTCATGAATCAGCATCATGAAGGTTTTCACTGTGAGAGCACAGATGCTTTTCTGGAAGAGGTTGAAAAGGGTTTCTTTTCAGTTCGAAAGCCCAGCAGCCGAAAAGCCAAAAAGATTGCTGCGATGGACACCGCACTTTGCGGGATGGATGCTTTGGTTTCCAATCAGCTCAGGATGCAGCAAGCCTCAAAGGCTGCCAGAAAGCCTCCAACTGGAAAAACATGGCTCAAACAAGTTTTTGCTGGACAGATGGGTTTGACCATTTTGGCAGTTTTCCATGGTATGGTTTTTGGTATCCCTCGCGACATCTCCTTGGACGGCTGGGACGCTCTGACTCCTGCTGGAAGGCGTCAGCTTCACCAAGACTTCCAACAGGAAGATCCCTTTTGCACTGTGCTGACGCAACCGTGCGGTCCATGGGGGAATTGGTCGAGGTTCAACATCTCCAAGGGTGGCAGCGCTTCTGTCACCGTCCTTCAACTGCGAGAAGATGGTCGTCCCTTGCTGAAAGTTGTTAACAAGACCATCAAGGATAGACTCCGTGCCAACAGGCACATCTTCATGGAACAACCTCTTGGGTCACAAGTCCTTGATGAACCTGAAATGGCAGATGTTAGAAAGTTGGTTGAGGACGGCACTTTGCTGTTCATTGTGGTTGACGGCTGCATGGTTGGCTACAAAGACTCCGTCACCGGATTGCCCAACAAGAAGCCTTCCTTTTACATCACATCAATGTTGTGTGCTGAGAGCGTTTTTGCAACATGCCGATGTGATCATAGCCATGAACATCAACCACTCGAGGGCAACAATGAGTTTGGCCCCAGAACCACTCAAGCTGCAGCATGGCCTTCCGAGCTCAACCAGATGGTTTTGGATTGCATCATCCAACAAGCCGCCATTGAGGAGCACCTCGCTGATGAGATCTATGCTGGTGATGCTCTGCGCCGTCCTGCGAGCGGTCTCTCTGGGAGATCTCCCAAGCGCCGCAGACAGGGTCGAATGGCAACGATCTCAAGCCCAGCTCCGCCAGTTTATGTGCGACCACAAGGAGCTGAAGCACCTCAACCAGTTGGCGAACTTGGTGATCTACCTCCAGATGATGACTCATCTTTTCGAGCTCAACAAGCTGCAGCACTGGACCCAATCCTCAACCAGACAGAAGCTGATCGCCGACATCAATGGCTTCAAGTGGATCCTGAGATTCGCAAGTTGCTCAGGACCTTGCATGTCAATTTTGGACATCCAACCTCAACAACAATGCAGAGAATCCTGCGACGTCAGGGGGCAAAGCCGGAAGTCGTCCGAGCCGCTGGACTTATGGCCTGTGACGCTTGTGGTGAATCAATCCGGCAGAAACGTCCCAAGCCTGTGCGACTGCCATCGGCCTATGTGTTCAACCAGCACATCCTTGCCGACACCTTCTATGCCAAGAACAGCCAAGGCAAAAGTTTAGCCTTCCTCAACATCCTTTGCGATGCAACTGGATTTCAAGTGGTTTCTTGCCTTGGAGAACTGACTGGGACGCCATCATCTGGCATTGTGCTCCGTCACTTTTTGACTTCATGGTCATCTTGGGCTGGACTTCCCCATTCTCTCCAAGTTGACCGTGGCAAGGAGTACATGGCTCAGTTCTCAGACTACCTGAAGCAGTATGGTGTCGAGCAGCAAGTGATTCCTCTCGAATCACCTTGGCAGAATGGAAAGTGCGAACGTGCTGGTGGCCTTTGGAAAGAAGTCTGGGCCAAGACAGTTGTTGATGTTGATGTTTCAACACTTGCAGATGCAATCACTGCTGCGTCAATTGTGACGCAAACCAGAAATGCCTTTCCACGCACCAATGGGTACTCGCCCAACCAGTGGGTACTTGGCCATCCTGAGACCCGCCTTCCAGGCAGCCTTCTCAGTTCAGATGAGAGCCAACAACTTGAAGTTCTCGAAGCAGCTGAAAACCCCCACAGTGAAATGGCAAAGACTTTGGCCATCCGTGAAGCTGCTCGAGTGGCTCAGATTCGTTTAGATTCAGATAGCCGTGTGAGGCGAGCACTGTTGAGAAAGAGTACACCAACACGTGGACCTTTTCCCATTGGATCCTACGTGTACTTTTACAGGCGTCAGCCCCAGCAACGGCAACAAGATGGCCGACCTTACAACTGGTATGGACCTGCGAGAGTCATTGGACTTGAACTTCGCAATCCACGCCGCGCTGAGGACGGCGATCCAGCCACTGATGGCTCAGCCCCAAGCAGCTATTGGCTCCGCTATGGCCCCAGCGTGATTTTGGCCTCTGGTGAACAATTGAGGTTTGCAAGTGAAGATGAGCTTTTGGCAGCTCACTATGTGCCCCACTACGCTGTGGAGCAGGGAAGCGACCGTGGAGCCCGCAACTATGTTGACATCCGCAACCAGCTTCAGCAACCAATGCTTCAGCTGCAGGGGGGTGGTGTCAACGCTGATTTTGGTGTCAACGCTGATTTTTGGCGCACTTTTTCAGATGGACGAGTTGTTCGGGTCCACAACGTTCCCAGAAAAGCACTTTATTTTCCTGATGCTTGCCCAGTTCCACTTGACCAACTTCAAGATGAACGAGTGGCTGAGGCCATTTATGAGGCTGAGATGCGTGATCACGTCCTCACGGACACCATCACCGACAACTGGCGTCAAGACCTTGGACGCGAACTTGTGGCCAAATGGGTTGGCGAAACAATTTTCAGGACAACACCAACTCCAGCCTTGGCAAGTTCCTCAGCCCGGCCAGCATCAGGACAGTTTGTGTCCCAACCTGCAATGCCTGTGATTCCTGAAGAACGACCAACAGTCTTTGATGACCCGCCTCCAGATGCAGAGCAAGAGATAAGGACGGGCGATGTGCCTTTGCAACAACAGCAGCAGCAGCAAAGCCATGCTGGCCACATGAGACAGGTGACCGAGCAAGAACCTGATCCTGGTCCGCAGACCCCGAGGGATCAACAACTTCCTCAACAACCTGCTCCCGTTGCTCCTTTCATTGCTCAGCTTCACGAAGCGATGCGGAATCCACAACGACTTGATGGGCATCCTGGTGGAAGCTATGGACCACCTCGAACAGCACCAGAGCCAAGCTATGGTCCTCAAGGTGGAGGTGCCAGAGTTTTCACTGGGCCTTATCTTGGAGAAGCTGTCCAAGAGAACGATTGGCCTGCTGGATGCGAAGATCTATCTGATCGACTTGCTCACCGACGTCTGGCTGATGCGTCAGAGCTCACTGACGATTCCATGTCTGATGACTCCACATGCTACGAGGAGAATCCCAAGCTTGAAGCGTTCCTGACTGGCAAGGCAGTTCGGTCCGAGATCAACCTCAACAACCTTTCAGTAGAAGACCGTGCCAAGTTTGATCAGTCCATGGAGAAGGAGTGGAACTCTTTCAAGAAGTTTAGCGCTGTGGAGATCCTTTCAGAAAGCCAGATTGCAGCCCTTCCTCAAGACGCTGAGATTGTGAATACGCGATGGGTTCACACTGACAAGAACCAGAAGCCGCGCTTGATGGCTGGTGCAATGCGGCGACGCACTGGGAAGTCTGAAGCTCAGATCAAGAAGGAGTACCCCTTCGAAGCCAAATCCAGAATGGTTGTCATTGGCTGCCAGGAGAAGGACACTGGCATCAGATCTGACTCTCCCACTGCATCACTCCTGGCCTTCAATTTTGTGACTTGTTTGTCAGTTATTTTTCAGTGGATTTTGGAAGCGTATGATGCAAGCACAGCATATCTCCAATCTCAAGGAATAGCACGTCTCCTGCTTCTCCGTCCTCCTCGACCACCACCTCCTGGAGTTTCCCCACATGACTTGCTGTGTGCGAAAGGCAGCATTTACGGCACGCGAGATGCTGGCCGTAGCTGGTGGAAGAAACTTTTCAAAGCTCTCCAGCGACTTGGCTGGGTGATGTCAAAATTGGAAGCTGCACTGTTTTACCTTTTTGACTCTGAAGTTTTGGTTGGTGCGCTCGTAGCCCACGTGGATGACCTCTATTCCACTGGCACCGGAAAGAAGTATGAGGAGTCCCTGAAAGTTTTGGAGAAAGAGATTTATTTGAAGAGGAAAGTTGGTGATTTTCGTTTTTGTGGAAAGAATGTGAAACAAAACCAAGAACAGGCGCGCTATGCCGAATGCGCCGTTGAATGAGGATGAGAAGTCAGCCTTCAGAGGGCTGATTGGTTCACTTGGATGGATTGCCCGTCAGACCAGATCCGAGATGGAAGGAGACGCAGAAAAGCTGAGAAGCAATACTCTGCTGCAGGTGAGGACGGGTGTGAAACTGCATGTGAAACAGCAGTGACATAGCATTCCACCTTTGCAGCATTCAGTCTTGCAGACATTCCATGCGCATCCCAGAGCGCTCTTTTGCCCAAAGAAAAAGGTGCCTCACTTCCCGCTGGCCGCTGTCGGGATTTTGAATTAATCAACTATTTCTATGACCATTTTTCACAGCTATGTAACAGTCATTACCAGAGGGTATCATCTCTGAAGTAAATCCTATTAGCATTGGCTACAAAAAAGCCACTTTCGTCTTAAACCCTATTCTGCTTGTGACTTGGTGAACACCCCAAAAGACTGATCGAAGAGGTGATAGAAGAGCTGATCCTGCACTTGCTATGCAAGATGGTGTCTTGGTTTGTGATTTTTGGGAAGGTTGAAGAAAACAAGTTGGTTTCAGGACAACATTGGGGTAGTCTTGGGGTATTCTTGGGGTATTAGATGATAATTTACGGGTATATTTCATATGATCAATAGGACACATCCATATATATATATAATCATATATATATAACTGTAACTGTTGTAGTATATATATAACTGTGTGTGTATATATATATATAACTATATATATATAACTGCATAACTTGTAACCAACTTAAGATGATTTTGGGTGTGTTTGAAAATTGGTTGAATATACCTCCAAGCTATGGCAACTTTGATGGGGAAGCTGATAAACTAGTGAATATCAGAATGCCCCTGCCCAGACAAACCCAGTTCAGTCATGCTTTATCCAATCAATCGATTTCAGATTCAGGAGCTGGACAATCGCATGTCCATGGTTACAGTTGGCCGACCCTGATGAATGCCCAAAGACGTGCGAGTTCGCACATGTTGAAACCAGTTGTATCTGTCAACACTTGCCTCTGAAACGAGCGAGGTGAGCTGGCTCGAGAAGAACTTATTCTATCTTATTCTTTGGTAATCAAACATGGCAATGGAAAAACCATGAAAAACCATGACAAACCATGACAAACCATGAAAAACCTACATGTATAGATGATGTTCCCATTCAAAAAAAAAAACTCCGGGCTCTCCAAGGACAATTCCGACATGCAGAGTGACAAGGTCACCCCGTTGGATCCACTGATTGGACAAAGACAGCGGGGCCAACATTGTTTTCAGAATCCAGTCTACTCATGTAGTCAATGTCAAAAAGATATAGTCACCTACTAATCCGCAAAAAGATCGAACAGCAAAGTTTATATAAATCATGATAAATCATGATAAATCATCATTTAATACCTGGATAAAGTCATATAAAAGTCATATAATTCATATCAAGTCACTATGGTTCCCTCTTTTTGATGTGTTTTTAAATGGTTAAACCGTCGCCGGGCGCTTCGCCGTCAGGTGGTGCGTCCCTTGCAAAAGTTCAACGCCTGCGCTTCGCGGCTCGCGGCCAACGTCTCCTTGGGACTTCAAGAGAAACAGCAACGGCGGAAGAACGAGAAGTGCCTTGGGCGCCGTGGTAAGATATTAATTGGTGGGTAAGATATGGTAACTGCTTGGTGGTTTCAAACATTTGTTATTTTCCATTTCATATATGGGATAATCATCATATATCTGGGCAAATTATAACGACCTCACTGCGACCGAACCCTGGAATCATGGTGAATGTATAGGGGAATCATCCCCAAATGGCCGCAAGATTCAGGTTAGTGAAATATTATAATTTACCCAGATTAATGGTGGGTAAGATATGGTAAGATATGGCAAGATTTATAGGTGTTAAGATATTAATGTGAATCACCAACAGATATGGGATATTATGGCGCTAAGGATGGTAAGATATATTAATAATTTGGTGTGTATTAATGGTGGTAAAATATATCGATGTTTGTTTATGGAAAAAATAGACGGGATAATAGGTTTTAACACCCATCTGGAAAGATACATTGTAAGATATTACTGAAGATATTAGATGGATAGATAGATATAGATAGATATAGCTAGATGTAGATAGATGTAGATAGATACTGTAGAGATATAGATAGATATAGATAGGTACAGATAGATATAGCTAGATGTAGATAGATAGAGATATAGATAGATATAGATAGACGTAGATAGATAAAGATAGATATAGATAGATATAGATAGATATAGGTAGATATAGATAGATACAGATAGATATAGATAGATATGATAGATATGGATAGATACAAATAGATACGGATAGATATAGATACATATAGATAGATATAAGTAGATATAGGTAGATATAGATACATATAGATAGATATAGGTAGATATAGGTAGATATAGGTAGATATAGATAGATATAGATAGATATAGGTAGATATGGATAGATATAAATAGATATAAATAGATACGGATAGATTTAGATCGATATAGATAGATATAGATAGATATAGATAGATATAGGTAGATATAGGTAGATATAGGTAGATATAGATAGATATAGATAGATATAGATAGACAAGATAGATAATTTTAGTTGGCTAGATAGATAGATAGATTAGATAGATTAGATACATCGGATAGATTAGATATATTATATTAGATAGATTCCATAGATTCGATAGCTTAGATAGAGTAGATAGATTAGATAGATTAGATTTAGAGTAGATAGATTAGATAGATAAGATTAGATAGATTAGATAGATTAGGTAGATTAGATACATTAGATAGATTATATAGATTAGATAGATTAGATACATTAGATAGATTAGATACATTAGATAGATTAGATAGATAGACAGATTCGACTGATTCCACAGATTAGACAGATTAGAGAGATTGGACAGATTTGACAGATTAGACATATTAGATAGATTAGATCGTTTAGATAGATTAGATAGATCAGATAGAATAGATAAAATAGATAGAATAGATAGATCAGATAGAATAGATAGCATAGATAGAATAGATAGAATAGATGAAATAGATAGAATAGATAGAATATATAGTATGAATAGTATGAATAGATAGATAGATCGACATATAGTAAGCAATTATATAGAACTTGTATGTAAGATATATGGTAAGATATTAATGAACAGTCAATAAACATTTTAGACACCAAAATCCAAAGACGTTTTTTTTGAGTTGATTCCTTATCATATGGTTCTTAAAGCCTTGTTAAAACGCATTTAAAAAAAAAAAAAAACACACACACACTACATAATTACTGTAGGTGTCTACCTGTTGCTTGCCAGGTGTTTCACAGTGTCTTCAATCAGGTTTCCGATTCCGATACTATCTATATGAACTGCACTTAGTGGAAGATGACACGCCCGCGAGGCCCACATTAAGAGGCTGCTTTGAATCGCAGGAAATTCAGTCCATGTCAGCATCACTATGTGCCTTTTTTCATTGTGGTTAACTTCCAACGGGTGATGTTTACAACTGGAACATGTTGAGAACAATGTGACACTGCTTGGTGGTTTCAAACATGACTTTTATTTTCCATTTCATATATGGGATGTCATCCTTCCCATTTACTTTCATATTATTCAAGATGGTTATTGCACCACCAATCAGGACATCATTAATCATCATGAATCATCATGAATCACCATTATCATGATCATTATTAACCATTATTAACCACTATTAATAGAATCTCTAGAAAAATCAGCCTTGGAATCTCACAAGAATTTCCATAGATGTTCCGTGGTGGTTCACCACATGGCCATCCCAGGAAGTTTTTGCCCTTGGCTTCAACGGTTGCATTGCTGCAATGCGCCTTGATCGACAGTGAGTTGGCCGCCGACGCGGTCAAAGGAGCCGGATGGTTGGAAACATGGGAAAAGAAGGGGAGAGAGAGAGAGAGAGAGATGTAATTTTCGTTATTTTCTTGTATATTATTTTTATATGATATTATATATATACATTAATTTGTTTTGGGGGTTGCTACTTACTACATTGGATAGTGTAATAGTGTATAGCACAATGCTAAGATGAGTTGGGTCACCGGCCACCAACAATGGGCCTACACTATGGGGAATTATTGGCAGAGAACTTAGTTTGGATGGATTGAACAAACAGTAAGTGTTCAGTCCGTTTTCCTTGAAAACAAGCTGGTGAACCAGGCTACCCCACAGGCACCACCCCACCTCTCTACATATTTTTTTCCTCCGCAGTCCTTGCAGCTGGCAGGACTGTTCCAACCAATCGATAGCAACAGGGATGATAGCAGAGACCTTACCCGAAATGTGCACCACGAAGTGGACGGTTTCGCCATGCGACCTTTGGCCTCTCGCCTCTGGCGTTCATCGTGTCTTTGATCTAGCGATTTCACCAAGAATTGATGGATCCTATGGGATAAGCTGTGCGAATATGGATCCTATGGTGTGCACATCGTCAATTTGCGTTCCAACTAGTGATGATGATCCCCTAGCCGACACAGCGGTGTTTTCCCAGGGGTGTCGAATTATCACTAAGCAATTATAGTCACAGCGAAATGATGAAGTTGTTTATTGCCATGGTTAGATTACCTTTGAGTCAAAGCAGCAAGACAGACACTGAGTCGTCCTGAAAAACCCTTCAAAGATACATAACCCATAGGATCCATGCTAACATTGGGGGTATATTGATGGTAAACGTTACCATATATAGCATACATGGATCCTGTGGGTAAGATTACTGATCAAGTTACACATATGGCATCATATGGCCATTGTATGCCATTGTCCCAAACGTAGGATTCTTTGACAGCTGAGGTCTTACAGGTACTCTTGCAACATCAGCTGAAATTGCACAACTCAGCAAAAGATGTCACTTGGTCACGCTTGTTTTTCATGGAAATCATGGAGAAAAATGTGGGCGAGTTGGTCGGATGGCTAGATTTTTTATCATGGTGATTCAATATGATTTAATATGATTTGGTGGGATTTGATGGGGATATGTCCATTGGATATATATGATATATGGAGTTTTTCTTGGGCGATGGCAAAAGTTCCCGGGAGTTGAATCTGATTTTTTGTCGTGGATAGACATGGATATACCGTGATGCCCAACGGAGTTTGATGAACCAACTCAAAGATCCAGTCCGCAACGGAATTTTGGAGCAATGCCGCTGGCTTCGACACTGAAGGTTGCGGGGTGCTGTTGCACCCTGATTCATGGCCCTGAATTGTGACCATTTTTCAAACAAATTCTACACCCATGTAGTGATTGACTTGTCCTGATGTGTTGTAGACTTTATTGAAAGGTTGTCGTTTTTCGGGAGGAAAGACTGTACATTGTTTGTTTGACTTTACTATCTTTCGTGGATGTCAAGGAGGGTAATGAGAAAAGAAAACGGTATGTTCTAAGACGATCCTTTCCATTTGGGACAGTTTTGTAGTCAAGAAACTTCAAATTAAATATCTCCATTTTTACAACACCAAAATAGAGCCACAGAAATCACAGAATCATTATAATCATTAAAAGCTTTCATGGTTGAACTACGTCAGGTGATTCAATTGAACCACCATTCCAAATTTGGTGTTTCGTGAATTTGAGGACCACGAAGAATTTACCACTGAGATTTCAAGACATGATAGTCTCCTTCAGTTGAGAAATCGCAAGATTTGAAGTTTCTTGAAGTTTCTTGAAGTTTCTGAAATAGATACACAGATTCGATAGATCGCCAAAGATACACAGAAACACCAAGATCCAAAGATACACAAAGTTTCTTGAAGTTTCTTTAGACCGTTTCAAGATCCAAAGGTACACCAAAGTCTCCACAGTATCCACACATTCGATCGATCGCCGCGCCATTTGGATCCTGATCATCTCCAAGGTGTTGAATTTCTTTCCAAACAGTTGGCTTCCAGAAATCCCATTAAAAACATCATCATATACCATGAAATACCATCATATAATATATCATCACTATATTCCCATGATATTCCTGTTACATTCTGATTCTGCTTGGGTTTGTCCCCCAACGAATATCAATATGTAATATCCTCATTATATGCCCACTATATCCCCATTATATTCCCATTCAAAGCCACTAAATCCATTATGGTTGGTAAATCCGCCCCCAACAAAATATACATAGATAGATGGATTCCCATTATCTTCCCATTATCTTCCCATTATCTTCGGTGATTCTTCCCATTTAGGTCGTCCCCCATGATGGACGTTTAATCAACATAGTCCATTAGGATCCCATTAATGTTCATCAGTATCCCATTAATATCCTAGGAATATTCCATGAAATCCCATCAAATCCTAGATTAAAATCCATCAATTCCCGTGTATGTATATATATATATATCCCATTCATATGTGAATTTAAACCATCATTGATATAAAATAATAGAAGCCATATTGCCATAGGGTACATCATATATATATATTATATATATATTATATATATATTATATATATATTATATATATTATATATATATATACACATCACATATACCATATATATATATAGATATCATAGCTAGTATTGTATAGTGTCCATGCTATCTATGGGCCATACAACCGAGGCCGTCTCCGCGCTGTTGGAGACCGTCTTCCGAAGCCTGGCTCCGCAGCAGGCGTCGCTGCTGCGGCTCTTTCTGCTGCTGGAGAGCCGGGAGCAAGGCGGGAAGGGCTGGGGTTTCACCATCGACAAGTCAATGGATTGGTTTAAGGGAAAAATTACAGGATACACCCATATTTCATAGGAAAATCTACGGTTTCCTGTAGATTTTCCCTTAAGCCAATCCATTGAACAAGGGATACCCCAAAAACTGTGTTTTCGAATATTCGGACTTCAGCCCCTTCGGGCTCTCCCCCTTCCACCTCACTCAATTGCGACTGAGCCACCTCGGTGAACATTGAATGCATGAAATTTCAATCAAAGTGTTAAAAAGGGACCATGTTTGAAGATTCCAGGTTCTATCTACTGCAGGCTTATTGTATAATACTGTATATACACTCCTGAAATTATCATGAGAATACTACAATGTGAGGCCCCCAAGATAGCTAAGTTGGTTTATAACTCCAATAACTAGGGTTTATGGTACTTATAACTATAGTTACTGGGGCTTTTGTTAACCAACTAACATCACTGGGGGGCCTCACATTGTAATTTCTGCCGCTTCATTCATTTTTTCTGCCGAAAGATGTGCCACGTCAGGCCTGACATCCCTGTGGCACTCCATGGTTTCTGCCGTGATCCGCCCCTCCGTCGACCTGGATGCATCGAAGTTCGGGACCGACCGAAAGGGGGGGGCCAGCCATTTCAATAGGTGGTTCCATTATAAACCGTAGAATGGTTGAAGGACTCCTTTTGCAATTATGATATTAATAGATATATATAATATATAATTATATATATATATATATTAATAGCTGCATCTACTTGGCGGTTTCAATTATTTGATGTTCACTACCATAGTTCTATGCGATGAAGGGTGTACGGGGTTTACTAACAAACACGGGGATATAAGGGGGTATGTATTATCTATAGTTGGTGGTTTCAATTGTATTTTCAATTTCAATTCCATGACTGGGATGGTGATCCAAAGTGACGAACATATTGTTTCCACGGGGTCAAACCACCAACCAGTTTCATGATATAGGATGAAATAAAATTTTATGTTTGTTTTAACGGATTGTGGAATGAGATGCGATTGAATTTAAGACAGAGTGGAACACTAGATTTATTGGATGTTTCAACTCTTCAATGATGAGGATCGGGACGAAGATCAGGATGAGGATGGTGACGGATAGTGCACTTTCATTTCAGTTTTGAACATGTCAGGTGTCTTTTTTTGGTTGATTGTCACAAATTTGTTTTGGAAATGAATTCTGCATTTTGCAAGCAGGTTCGGTGTGGAACCAGACATGAATAGTTTGACTTATAATCCTTACTCTAGATTTAATTTGTCGAACAAAACCCTGGTTTCAAACGATGATTGCTGCATTCGAGGAGAGAAGTTCAAACCATTTACATTCACAAACCATTGGTCTCTTTCAAATTCCCATATGTTCATATATATATTTTCTGATTTTCCCCTTCGTGCCGCAGGAGTGATAGGCGCCAAAGTGTAGATAAAATGAATACAAACGAGGCCAGAGGGGATGTGCGATTTGGTGCCTGACAAATATTGACACTTTTGGTTGTTTGGGTATGTGTCAAGCAAATGGGTACCCTGAACTGCTGGATGATGTTCGATAGAAATACTTGGTATTATTGTTTGATTCATCTGCCTGGCAAGACCAAATCTGGCTGGTGGTTTGGAACATGTTTTATTTTCCATATAGTGGGAATAATGATCCCAACTGACTAATTAATATTTTTCGGAGGGGTTGAAACCACCAACCAGAAAATTACATCCAACATCATCCAATATCATCATCATTTGATGTAGAGTTTATCGATCGTCGAATGCATTGTTTACTTAGAATCACGTGTTACGTTCAAATTCACGTGATCCCGGAAATAAAGCGAGGGAAAACCACACAACTACGTGGTTTGAAGATGTTTTAACATTTTTAACAAACTAGAAATCCTATTGCCTTATTGATATCACACAGCTGAAACATGATTAAACGCTTTCAAACCCATGTAACCTGGCAACCTAACCTAGTAACCTGCCTAATTGTTTCTCAATTTCTGGAACTCGCACGTGACTGCTGTGTATCAATGCCCTTCAGTTCTCCGCAAAAGTTACAGGCCGAGAAAGAAGGCATTGTTGATGCTGAAGCAGGCAGGCAGTTTGGTGCGGTCTGATAAATCAAATCATGATGCGGTATTGTTACAATACTATTTCTGTACAGTGGCCCAAGAGAAAACGAATTGGACGTTCTGTATGATGTATGTGCACATTGCCGCATTACTCCCAGCTACTGTATAGATTCAAGAGATTGATATTAATTAATGTGTGGCTGGACTTTGTCCAAGAGTGAAATTTGTGTGCCAAAGGAGGAGACAGGCATACACGGGCGTAGCTTCAAAAAACTACCGCGAGCCAGCAAGCCAGTATCTTTTAAAATGTTTTTCCAAATTTAGGATTGACCCGTCTGGTAATTCAGCATAGCTATGGAAAACCACCATGTTAAACAGGCAAATCATCGAATCTAAATGTGCAATTTTCATCCATAGCAAACTGTACCACCAGAAGGTACAGTGTCCAACAACGACACAACATTGTTTTGCTATATCAAACATTATCAAACAGTTCTTTCACTGAATCCCAGTGCGTTGTATTTGGGTAAAAGGGGTCATGTTCCGATTGCTCCGATTGCGGTGCTGGTTTCCTCATGTTTATTTGTTGCCCGTCTCACGAAAAGACCCATATCATCCCATATCTATTTCAAAAGAGTGGAACGGTTGTCAGTGGTGATCAGTGGTGTTATCATTGTTATCATCCCATATTTGTATATATATAGTTGTATCATGTTGTATCAAGTGTTTCCATTTGTACACATATTCCATCACTATCAATGATTTGCACCTACGTAGGGACATCTTGGGACTTGTCTCAACCGTCTCAACCAGGCAGCTCCGACGCGACTCGTTATGCACCGTTATGCACCGTTGAGAATTCTCCAGTCACTGGGGGGGATTTTCCAGCTGTTTTATAGATTGAAAATCAAACTGGATATATTGATTATATTGGATTGTATTTTTTCAGGATGAACAATAATGTTGTTTCAACAGGAAACTAGATATGTATGATTGTTTTTGCATGTTTATGCAACCATCAAACTTTCCGAACTCCTTGCAAAGCCTTTGAACATCTTTGAACCCATTTAAAGTTGACTTGGTCGAAATTGCGGTTTGAAGTTCTGCACCCCGTTGTTTTCTAATCCCGGCAATTTCCTGTTTGATTGGTGTCTGGCTGACCCACATCTTGAAGGCATCGGTGCTCCTTTTTTCTGGTGATTCCTGAACTAGCAAGTCGTAGATGTCAAATACGCTCATTGCCTCCAGCGGAAACACTCACAACATGAATCTGATTAGACAGACATAGACAGATATCTGAATATCAAACAAAGAGAGATATGCACATCACCTGGTTGGTGTGTTACATGCGCGTTGTTTCTTTGATCTTTGAATCTGGACGTCCCATACATCCGATGTACATCCCCACCTCCCAGCAACGCCCGAGGACGGCAGCAGTGACGACAGCGACAGCGACAGCGACGACGAGGTGGCCAGCGACGACGCTTCGAACCGTTCCGGCGACGAGGCGAGTGGTGGTTTCACTTGTAAGAAAATTGGTGGTTTAGCTATGTTGAACTGACAATAGATATAAGATGATATAAGAAATGGTGGTTTATGCATTTGTTCTGCATGAGAGAAATGCAAATTTGCATAGAATTGCCATATCCAGTCGAGAAAATCCAGTGTCCTTGCTTCCAGGATGCTGATGGAGAACAGAATGAAGACGATGAGGTCGACGCCTCAAAAACTGTCAGCCTTTGGTAGTGACAAACAGTTTGCCACAGAAAATGAACAGTTTAAAATTTGTTGAATAGGTAAATCATGTATAAATGGACTATGTTCTAATATAGCTTTGTTATGCTTTGTTCAATTACCATCAATTACCAAAAGGGTATCTCTCCGTGTTTGATTTTGATAGGAAAGAGAAGGTCGCAGACAGCTGGGTCTCTCTGGAATTTTGTGGCTGCATGTATGGCTGAATATGGCTGCATTCTGTGTATTCCTTCCTCCGGGCCACAATACTCATAGGTTTGGACACCTGACATGATGAAATCATGCAAAATCACCATGTGCATGCGATGCGGCTGGTCGCAACCCATTGAGTCAGCGCAGTTCCACAGAAGGAATTTGGATCCGTGTTTGGAAATATCTATTAATCCATTATGTCTTAGGGGATCTTAGGGGAATACATTTAATGGACGGGAACTAAAGATTAAAATCCTAGGTCCAAAGGGTTGAACATGGACCAAGTTTTTGCGCGACACCCGACCAAAAAAACGTTTGGGGGTATGTATTTTTGGTTCATACCCTCAGAAGGTGTTTTGATGGGCTAGTTTTGGCATGTTTTGGCATGGTCACAGTCGCCATTTTATCTCAGCAGTTGGTGTCATTCCCAAGGCAGACGGTTTCACTGAAGACGACGTCTTGGAGGTTGTGCCGGCCACCAAAATTCTCAGAGACTTGTCCGCAGATGTCCAAAGTGATTTACTCGCAGTGGCCACCAATTTCTGGAACTGATGTGGACAACACGTTGTAAAAAAAATGTAGAAACATATCATGTTTGAAGTGGCTCTTCATCCTGTGTCTTTGCTTTGATTTGTGAAACCATCGTTCATATGTGCCATCATTGTCTATTTTTATGTCCATCAATATCCATCATCTTCAATTTAAGCGTGGGCCAAAATTATCAACTCTTTGGTTCTGCGTGGTTCAACTGGTCATCCCTTCCCTACCAACATATTCCCAGGAGCCAACTGGTTTAGCATGGTTTAGCATTTGAATATGATTGGATCGTACTGGATATCTATGGACTGCATTGGATTTCTTGATTTGGGGGTAATCAAACGCCAAGATCAGCCGAGTTGGACACTCCAATAACTTGTATAACTATAGTAACCCCTCCAATAAGGATAGAATGATAGAAGAGTATGTGTTCACTATTCTAATAGGATTGTACTTTTCTATTTTTGGGGATGTTAGTATATAGTCAATCCTATGAATTTATCATAGGTCTTCCTATTTCTTCCCATCTTCCCAGTTTTTTTTTGGGGATAGCCCAATCTTCCCAGTGATCTATATAGTTGATGGGGTTTACCCTCCAGTAAATTAACATAGACCCTGCCAGATAGGGGTTGGAAGACTAGTTTCCACTATAAGTTGGTCATTTTCAGGGTCTATGTTAATTTACCAGAGGGTATAGCCAACATAACTGGAACAACGTCCCGAAGGTCCAGCATTTTTGCGCCGCATGCGAGAGCTCTGGGGTGCGGTTCAGGCGCCTGTTGAAAAGAAGGATGGGAGAGCCGGTCTCGGTCGATGCTATCAACTGGTTCCTATACACACTACTCGTATCATAGATGTAATACAATATATATATATATATTATGTGATATATATATATATAAGACTATACATAATATATATATATAATACTATATATATATACATATAATATACTATATATAATAATATAATATACTATATATATAATAATATAATATGAAATATTATATATATGCAGGATAATGTTATAGTAATTGCATGCATGACCATGAGTTAGATGATATATTTACATTTTGCCTGCCATCTAGGTTTCACTAAAATTATGAATAATTTATTTTGTATATGCCAGTATCTCACTGATTTTCTCTTGTTAGGTCAGAAAACAGGATCTAGATGCTAAATGCTTGTAGTCCTATATCTCATGTTTCATGACTCGTCATTTTTATTCTATCTAATTCTCACTCATAGTACTTAAGATTGCAAATCACAATTGTGAATCTACATCTCACTTGTAGTAATTTTATCCAAGCTCGCAGTATCTGAAAGTTGCATCACCCCAAGATCCAGTGGTTTATCATCATGTTGCCATGTATTGAAGATAAATCTCCATTTTCAGGCACACTCAATCACACTCAACAATCATTTTAAATGGTGTTCTTTGTATGTGTGTGTGTCCTGTTGTGATCCCCATCAAAAAATGTCCAAATCCGCATGTTTGTGGATTGCTGGTTACATCCCCACTTGGGGGGTGCAGCTCCAGTTAGAAGTCGATAACCATAGCCATAGTTAATAGTTATACGTATCATATCCATTTATAATCTCAACCGCCCCCCAAGTTCGTCATATATCTATACATAATATATGATATTATATAAATATATCCCTTATAATTCATTATATATATACATATACATATATGTATATATATATTATAGTTAATTATCCCTTATATCTTCATGATATCCCCATGTTTGGTGAAACCCCCGATGAAATCGCTGCCATGTCTCAGGCCACCATCCCGGTTACGCATCCCAAGCGCAGTGCGAAGCAACAGCTGGCGCGTCTGCCCAGTAAGGCCCCGTTGCTGGTGCCGACTGAGGCACTTCCGTGGCTGGGCGCAGCCAAAAATTTGCCGGGATTCACCGTGGATTGACCAATGGAACTTGGGCATTTGCTATGATTTAGCCATGAAACATGGGGATCTAGCCATTTTTTTTGTTGTTTGGGTTGAGGATGTGTTGCTGAAAATAAAACACATCAACTTAACGAGAACATGAAAACAATCCGCAAAGAACATGTTTGGTTTTCCATCGGTTTTTTTGTTGGTCCCTGGGAGCCTCGAGGTTACTCCGGTCGCTGGCCAAAACTGTCGATGTGAAAGTTCAGGACATGGCCATGGCGGGGAAATTTGCCAGGTGACCCTATATACCCTCTGGTAATTTAACATGACTATTGAAAATGGCCATTTATAGCTGATTTACCCATTAAAAATGGTGATTTTCCATAGTTATGTTAGTTTACCAGAGGGTATACCTCCAGAAATTGTATAGTAATATACTTAGACAACATTAGATAGTCATGGTGACTTGGGACAAAACAGCATATCCGACATGGTTCCACAGTGCGGCTTGTATTGGATCAATTCATTGGATCCCCGTCCCGGGAAAAATGGGGGGTATGAAAAATAGAAATAGCGACTGCGAGTATAAAAAAAAACATGGATACCCTCTGGTAAACTAACATAGCTATGGAAAACCACCATTTTTAATGGGAAAATCCACTATAAATCACCATTTTCAATAGCTATGTTAAATTACCAGAGGGTACATGGTACAGCTATGTACAGCTAATTACCTTGATATAGAGCTTTAGCATTACGAATACATTGACTTGTTTGAAAATCGTTCGATTGTTGTGAACCTTCAGCATATGCTGGTAAGAGCGCTTGGCGAGACTCCCAGATTTTCGAAGAAGTACAGTAGGGTATATTTCGTCGTGTTCTTTAGATTGTTTCACTGAAAGAGGAATTCAATTGTGGAATTGGTGGAACTGCTGCACATTCTTTGCTGTTCCCACTTCTTGAAATCATGCAGGAGATTTCTATGATGGATCAGCTACAAGGGAGGCTGGAAGGATGGTTGGTCTACGATCTGGCAGAATGCAAGGTGGCTTACTGGGCTGGTGCTAGTGGTGATCAGCTTCCCAGGGTCTCTGGCTGAATTTCTGGGTCAGATGATCTCCACCTTGAAGCAGTCTGAAGATGTCGAGTGGGTTTTGATTGGTACGGCAGCTTTTGGGACTGTGCCTGTGTAAAAAAAATTGTGAGTTTGACCTGTCTAATGTATATTTTGTATAGCCAAGTGATCACATGCCCCGTTGACATTTGGCTTTAGGGCCCTTGAGTCATACCGCGCTGCCGTGGTAAAAGTTGGGCATTTGACGATCCCGTTTCCAATTCATATTGGTAGCGGAGCGGGTGACGACCTGCATCCGGTGGTACGTCAGTGACCCAGGGAACCCTTTGTGAATTTGAGTCTGGTAACTTTGGGAATCAACTGAACTTCGAGTGTGTCGTGGTTCGGGAATCTGTCTGACCCTGACCAGGGCAGACACTTGTTAACGTTTTTCCTTGTTCGACTCCGAACGGAGCGAGCACCATGTCGATCAATGGCCTTCGTTTCAATCAGGAGCGCCATTCGTCGGCACCACTTGAGACGAAGAGTGGCTCATACATCTATGCAGGTGATGCGGCGAACTTTCATGATTGGCAGTTCAGGACTCTCCTTCGGATTCGTCTTTATGAGCAACAATTGGAGGAGGAGACAAGTAAGCCTGCGGATCCCGTTGGGACCACAGCAACAGAGCCTGCCGCAGAAGATGCAGATGAGTATGCTACTTTTCCAGATTTGTCGGGTGCTACTCAAGCAGCCCAGCCTACATCAGCAGTCTCGACTCCGAAGTCTGGAGCGAGCCGAAAATCCTCGAAGTCCGGCAAGCAGAAGACAGACATTGATCGTGGACCATTGGTCAACAAGGTGATTGAAGGACTGAGAGGAGATGCTTTCTCAATAGCTAGGGATCTTGGACTTGAAGTGTTGTCCAAACCTGGTGGCCTTGTGAAACTTGTGGGTGAGATCAAATCCCATGTGTTTCCAAGAGCCCGTGAGGAAGCCAAGGAATTATTTCGAGCAGGACAGAAGCAAGGTGGTCCTTTGTCTCGCCAACCAGGCGAACCCATGCTTTCCTATGTTCAGAGGAGACGACGTTGGTGGCACATGCTATGCGAGTTGGATGACACAATGGTGTTTTCAGACAGCTTGAGGACAGAGTTGATGTTAGAGTTGAGTGGGCTCAATCGACAGGAGATCCTCGTTGTGAAGGCCTGTGCAGACACTAAGGATTTTGAAGGTGTTGGCAAGGTGCTGATCGAGAACTACAGTGGCACTCACTTGCGAGAAGGGTCACGATCCTGGACAGGACGTGGTAATCCTCAACAGCATGGCAAGTCGTCAGGCAAAGGTTATGGCAAAGGCAAACCTTCTTCGAAGGGATCGTATTCCCAAGCAGCTTATGCAGCCTACCCCGATAATGGGGAAGAACATGCAGAATCTTGGGATGAAGCTGTGGATCAATCCTGGGAGGATGATTCATATGTTGGCATGCTTGGTGACATTGCAGAAGAGGAGCCAGGAAACCTAGAAGGTGACAACGAATTTGATTACTTTGACGACGTCGATGGGTACGAAGCAGTTGCATTGAACAGCTTGCTTGAAGTTGAAGGTGCAGAAGACGATCGACAAGCAGGAGACGCCATCCAGCTACAACTTGCTGCTTTCACCGCAATGGGGAAAGCAGGTGGCAAGGGCAAATCCTTCGGGAAGCCCAAAGGAAAGGGGAAAGGAAAGATCGTGAAGTCCAACCTCACGATCGATCAGAGAAGACGGAAGCTCACAGAGCTGAAGTCGAAGAGCAAATGTTTGAGATGCGGAGTCATAGGGCACTGGGCCGGTGACCCGGAATGTAAATTCCCAGGGTCGAAAGCCGGAGCCCCTGGAAAGTCAGCCCCAAAGCCCGCAGCTCACTTTGCCGACATGAGCGATTCTTCAGATGACGATGGTGTGACTTTGACAGCTTCACCTGATCGTGACAGAGATGGAGTTGCTATGATGGCAGTTCGACAAGCGAAGCCCAGCAGTCGACCTTCACGTGCCGCAGCATCCAGCAGCAACGTTGGCTTGATTTCCCGGGATCTCGATGTTACAATGAGACCCGAGGACCATGGGTGCATCTTTCCTGTTGGACAGTTCAAGGGTTTGTCTTTTTGGAATGTGTTGTTTGAACAGACAGGGTACTATCATCATGCCAAGAAACATACCCCCAAGAGTCCATACTATGTCACATGGTTGAATTGGGTTGACAAGTACTTTGTGGTTGGTGCTGATGGGATTCACTTGCGCGAAGTCCCTGTTGAGCATGTCGAGCACCGAGATTTGTTGGTGGCTCGGGGAACTGGCAGAAAGAAACCCCCAAATCCTCCTTTGCCGAACAAGTGTCAGGAATGTCGTGAGTTTACAAAACAAGGTTCTACGGGGTACACCATCAGGAAGACCTGCCTTGTGTGCGGTCATTCCGAAACAACAAGGCGTGACATGGTACCGTTGATGTCCCCTGAGAATTGCCCTCATGATGACACCGATTTTAGGGGATCCAGCAAATCAACACACCGTACTTTCTGCAAGAAGTGTTGCACTTTCATTGATGAAGCTCCTATGCAGATTCGCAAGGAGCGTGTTGCCATTGCCAAGAAGGTTGAAACAGCATCAGTTCGAACAGTCCCCATTGTTGAATCATTGGTTGAAGAATCGGATGGATTGAATCCAGTCCAGTTGGAAGAGTTGTTACCCCTGTTTGCCACTCTTGTTACCGAAACCTGCCAATCTGAGGTGATGACCCGTGCACGACTTCATGAACTACTGCATCAAGCCATCAATGACGTGACAGAGGAAGAGGACAGTTTTTCTCTTGTCAATGAAGATGGGCACGGCGACCCCTCGGGCAGGGAGTTAGCTGGGTACGTTGGCATCTGTTTGCCTGGAAGTGACAGTCAATACCCTCAAGACTTGGTTTACATGAACTATGAAACTATTGACATTGCCAAGTCACCCCATGTTTTTGCAGTATTGGATGAAGGTTGCAACAGCACTTGTCATAGCAAAGCCTGGGCAGTCGATGCAGAAGCACGACTGGCCCGATTGGGTTACAGTATGCCATTGAAGGATGACGGTTGTAAGAGTTTCGCTGGTCTGGGAAGTGGTAGTACCAAGACCGAAGGTGTGAGATCTATTCCTTTTTCGCTGCTGCTTCCAGACGGGAACATGCATGGGGAGTTGGATTCATATCAATTGTCAACAGGCAACAGCCCATTGCTTCTTTCATTGCATGCGCAAACCAAGTTAGGCCTAGTGAAGGACCTAGCAAAAGGGGTGATTTCCATCAAAGATCAACCATTGAATATCAAGAGATGTTCCAAATCAGGTTTACTTGTGATGAACTTGACTGAAGGATTGACCAACATCAACAACACACCGTCGGATGAACTTCCCCAAATCCCGAAGTGTCACAGAAAGTACAACATCGCATACACAGCATCCACATCGGAAGTTGCCATGGCTGATCATGACATGTGTGGTTTTCATTCGAGGGACTATGACATCTTGCAGACGAAGTTGAACGAAGAGCTGCGCAGTGACAGGAAGGTGGTCATCATGACTCGTGGACGTAGATTTCAACAACATGCGTGCAGAACCAGCAGGAGCACTTTGAGCATCAACTGTGAGGACATTAACGATCCTGATCAGGACGTTAACCTCAGGTCGCATGTGGGTTGGCATCATGGGATCCTTGAGACTATGAGCAAAGTAGACAGGTTCATCCAACATCTCAACAACATCCTCCAGTTCGTCACACAGCAGGAAGCCGACAGTAAGGTGCTGGTGGACTTGGAGTGCAAGTCAGGTCGCCACAGGTCAGTGGGACAAGGATTTGCTGCCTACAGGTGTCTCAAGGTCCTTGGTTATGACGTTGTTCTCATTCATGCATCATCTTGGATGTGGGGAGAGATGCGTTGTGGTGGAGTTTGTCATGGATGTAAGGACATGGCTGCGAGCTTGGGACAAATTCGACATTTGATCCCGAACATGTCAAGGTTGGCACGATCACGAGGCAATGTGGCTTCAAGCCGCGACGTGCGTGATGCTCCAGCCGATGATGTTTCAGGTGGACATTCATCTCATCCTACATCAGATCACCCCACTGCAGGACATCCTACATCAGATCAACTTGATGAGATTCGACGTTTGGTACAAGGGCTTGCAACAGATGTTGGACATCTTAGGACAGAACAGGTTGAGATCAAAAGGATGGCTGAAACAGGACGAAGATCAAGGAGCCCCTTGCGTCGACGAAGAGATGGCCGCGCTTTGCCGACTCCACCATCACCACCAAGGCGCAGGAGATCCCCGAGCTTCAGTCGAAAACTGCCACCTTGGAGACATCCACGAGCATCTAGGGGAAGGAGCTTGGGAAGAGATCAAAGCCCATCTTCGAGACCAGCTCCATCAAGGCCAGTTTTAAGACCTGCCCCAAGGAGTCCAGATTACCCACCTCCACATATCTCAGATGTACCAGGGGCCGATGACGGACCCCGAGGGGCCGATGACGGACCCCGATCGACGTTGCCACAACGATCTCGAGAACCTCCCAATGATCGCGACGAGCTTGAGCGACTGATCCGAAACAATTTGGCATCAGATGGACCGTTTGACAACAAGAACGTGTCAGTGACGACATTGGACGGTGAGCTCCTTAGCGAAGTTGTATCTTTTTGCATCCGTGAGGGTAACAGGGATCGGCTCTTTTGGATTTGCAAAGATGGCGAAGATCCACTGGTGGAAGGAGTTCGAATGAACGTCCTGATTCGAGATCATATCCGGCCCAACCGGATTATCAAGGTTTCGAATGGCATCAAGCACTGGAAGCGATCTACGTGGTGCAGACCTCGCAATGGAGGCAACTGGGAACTCATTGAAGACAACGTTGATAGCAAAGCAACAGTGCGTTTGAGCAACTCGTGGATCGATGTGATTGTGTTTCACCACCCACCTGGGGTGTTCGATGACTCCGGGAGGGGAGCATACATGAGCGTTCGTGTCAGGTTGACCCCCAACAAGAAAATACGGGATATAAGGGATGATTTTGAAAAGTCTTTGAATCCAAAAGTTGAGATGAAATCCTCAGAACCCAAAAGAATGTATGCAGTGAAGTCGAAGCCCCAGCCAAAGGTCTTGACGCCCAAGTTGGAACAAGATGATTCCGATTCATATGAATATGACTATGAGTATTCTCCCACTGGTTTCATGGCTGTACGTTTTGACTCCAATGTTGATTTGACAGTCCATCCTGATGAGAGGAGGACCATGAGCAAGAAACACAGGAAGATGGTGTTGGAAGGTATCAACAATCTCAACAACCATGACCGGGTAATGCAGTCCAGTCTTGGGATGCAGCCTCAAGTTTCCAATGGTACTTCAGGGGTTGCAATCATCACGTCACATCCGACTCTTTTCCAGGATTTTTTCGAGCACACTTATGACGTTGGCATGAATGCTGCGTACTTGGACGGTGATGCTGAGCAACACGGTTGGAAAGACATGTTCGAAGGTTGCACATTGGTCATTGTTGCAATTGAATACAAGTCAGAACATTATCCACTGTGTCATGGGGATCTTGTATTTGAGTTGGAACAGTATTGTGATGCCACAGGGTGTAGGTTTCTCATTGTTGATGTCGCACACACTGAACGATGGGAATCATTCAAAACACCACAGATTCCATACATCAATGAAGTTGGTCTTGCTTTTGTGTCAAATGATGATGAACTCATTCAAGGTTTTCAAGACTGGTCTATGTATCGACAATTGGATGACGTTTTGAATTGGGAGTTTTGTCAATGGATTCGTGATTGGTCACTTGAACGTGAATTGGAGGAGCAGATGAGCGTTGCCTTTCCAGCAGAGATCATCGAAGAGGCTCTGGAACATGATGGGAACTGGGATGCAGTCGATGGCCCAGAAGATGTTGCATTGCAGGATCCAGTTGAGGACCTGACACATGAAGAGACCCTTTTGGATGATGTTGATATCCCTGGATTACCAGAGGATGAAACAGAAAGGCGTAGGTCTTGGCGCAAACTTCCCCAGCGTGTCAGGATTGCTGTGCGTAGGTTGCACAGGGCTTTTGGACACGTCCCCAAGACGGTGATGGTCAATTTGGTGCGTGCTGCAAAGGTGAGTAAGGAGTTTGTTGATGCAGTGAAGTTGCATAGATGTGAAACATGTGAGAAAACATCAGCAAAGAAACCCACTCACAAAGTTACGCTTCCAAGTGATTATACATTCAACCATACTTTGGGGATTGATGTACTGGAGTTGACAGATATAACTGGGCAGAAGTATCAAGTTCTCAACATGGTTTGCATTGGTACTTGTTTTCAACAGGCTGAGGTTGTGAAGGTTGGAGCAGGTCAAGCTTCTTCGCGATCCTGTTTGGACGCACTCATTAAACGTTGGTTCAGTTGGGCAGGACATCCTGTTGCTATCATGTGTGACCGTGGTTTGCACAATCGTGGTGTCTTACAACAATACATGGATGAACATAACATTCAAGTGCACCATGTGCCCCTTGAGAGCCCGGAATCATTGGGCCGAGTAGAGAGGCATGGTGGTTTGTTGAAGGCTCTTTTCAAGCGAGTGTGTACAGAAGTTGGGGCTTGTACCAAAGAACAGGTTGAGTCGTGCATCACACAGGTGCTCAGTGTGAAGAACGACTCCGCGCGTGTTGGAGGATTTTCTCCATCTCAGTGGGTGCTCGGTCGAGCTCCCCGTGGTGTAGCTTCACTCATGTCAGAGGAAGATCACGCACAGCTCGGAGCCATTCAGGCCCGACATGACCCTTCATCAATTTTTGCATTACAACATTTGGCCAGGATTGAGGCACAAAAGGCTTTTGTTCACCTTGATTGTTCAAGAAGAGTTCAGAGAGCGTTGACACGCAATGCCAGTGTGTTTGATCGTGAGTTCAACATTGGTGATCTTGTCACTTTCAGACGAGACAATCAGAGAGGAGGAACGTCCTGGTCACCAACATGTCGTGTGATCGGACACGAGAACCAGAAGAACATATGGTTACTGTGTGGTAACGTTCCAGTACTTGTAGCTTCTCACAACATACGCATTGCTTCTCCTTCTGAAGCTCTTGCTCAATCAGTGTTGAATGGTGAACCTGTGATTCCATACAAGATCATCAATGATACAGGTCAACAAGCGTTTCTTGATGCAAGGCAAGCAGATGAGGTTGAAGTTGTTCGTGAAGGTCCAGGACAAACAGACGATGTTGAAGTTGTCCATGAGGACAATGCGGAGTCAGCACTTCCTCCTATACCAGAAGTACCTGAAGATGAATGGGACATACGGCCTGGTTTCTTTGAGGAAGGTGAGGAGGAGGAAGACACAGGACCAATGCAGGAGGACATCTTCTCATTGAGCAGAACTCCAGAGAGAAGGGTTGAAAGACCACATCCAGGAGATGAAGGTTATGAACGCAATGTGAGACCTCGAGTTGAGGCTCACCCACAACCTGAGTCTGAGAGAGGTTCATCACTTGGACCATCTCGGAGAGACTCCCTTGTGCCTGGTCCTACTTCAAGTGGCTCCGTTTCGGGGGCGCCACCTTTTAGTGGCTCCGTTTCGGGGGCGCCACCTTTTAGTGGCTTCGTCCCAGGAACATTACAAGCTCCGTCTCCATCGTCATCTTGGCCATCACGAAGAGATCTTTTGAATGACTTGCCTGAACAATTGCGAGCACATCTTGAGAGAGCTCGTGAGAGAGACTCAGAACGGAATGCTGAAGAACAACAAGAAGCACGAGCATTGTTTGCATCATTTTTGTCCCAGGAGGTTGGAGTTCCTGAGGACGAGGGGTTAGGCAAGAAAGTGTTGAAATCAATCCACTATGAATCAGCGCCACCTGATGTACAGAAGAACATCATGGACGCCAGAACCAAGGAGTGGAACAAGTTCCTTGAGTTCGCTGCTGTTGTTGAAATTTCAAAAGAAGATGCTGAGAGATTGATTGCGGAAGGACATCAATGTATTCCTAGCAAGTGGGTTGATGTTGATAAGAACCAATTTATGAAGGGAAGAGCAGACCAAGAATATGTGCCAAAGTTCAAAAGCCGGTTGGTGTCATGCGGCAATTTCGAAGTCAGTGAAGGTTTGAGATCAGACAGTCCTACAGCAGATTCGGAAGCTCACAACATTCTTTGCTGTTGGGCGGCGATCCAGGGTGCACAATTGCACAGTGCGGACGTCGCATCCGCATATTTCCAAGGTCGTCCTCTTGATAGAGTTCTCATTATGAGACAACGCCGAGGAGGTCTCCCGGGAGTTGATCCAGAGGTGTTTTTCCTTGTGCGGGTGCCTATATATGGATTGACTGACAGCGGTCGAGGTTTTTGGTTGAGGTTGGACGGAGATGCCCGATCCAGTGGCTTGAAACAATCCAAGTCTTACCCAGGATTGTATTTCCTTCCAGGAACCGACAAAGATTGCGTTGCACTTATGGCGACACATGTGGATGACATCTTGTACGCATACATTCCTGAGGGAAAGTCAGTGATCGACAGCTTCTTGGAGAAGTTCAACTTGGGATCAAGTGAATCAAATTCGTTTCGCTATTGTGGCAAGCAATTTGAGCGTACTGCAGATGGAACAATCACACAAGACACTTGTGACAACACCCGTCGCATCAAGCCGATCAAGATTGCGCCAGGAAGATCAGCGTCCGAGCCGTTGGGTAAGGATGATGTGACCCGATTACGGTCTGTAACGGGATCATTGGCATGGGTGGCAAGGCAGACTAGACCCGATTTGGGTTATCGTGTGAGCCGCCTACAGTCCAGTATTTCTGGAGCGACAGTTGCTATTTTGCACGACGCAAATGCCGTAGTACAGCTGGCACAACAAGGCATTGATAACAAACTTATTTTCCCAGGTGGTCATTTAACTTGGGGAGAGGTTGGTATCATTACAGTAACAGATGCTTCATTTTCAAATGAGAAGAATTACAAATCACAACAAGGTCGTTTCCATTTCCTTGGAGACATCAATGAGATCAAAGACCCCAAAACTACATCCTACAGGGTGATGCCATTGGGATTTGCATCAAATACAATTCGGCGAGTATGCCGCAGGGACTATGGTCTCGGATGCTCTGACCAAGAGCATGCGCCCGGACCTCATTATCCGCGTCTTGAAGGAGTGCATTTACCGTGTACAGAAGAAGCCTTAGAGCCAACTTTTTTCACTAGCATCATGTGATCCTTGAAGAACAGGTTGAGTGTGAGTTTGACCTGTCTAATGTATATTTTGTATAGCCAAGTGATCACATGCTCCGTTGACATTTGGCTTTAGGGCCCTTGAGTCATACCGCGCTGCCGTGGTAAAAGTTGGGCATTTGACGATCCCGTTTCCAATTCATACAATTTTTAATGGGAAAATCTACTATAAATGGCCATTTTCAATAGCTATGTTAAATTACCAGATGGTAACTCACCTCGTTTTATTAAAACTAGTTCAATGGTCAAAAATCATCACGGCTAACGTTCCAGACTGCAGTTCCAGCGTTCTGCCGTGGCATTCTGAACTGAGTCAAAACCCTTTTCTGGGCCCCGAATGGTACCATATTAAATAGATAGTAATAGTCCATTATCCATTAAACTATCCCATCTATTACTATATCTATTATAATATATGGATAATGGACTTAGTAATTATCCCATCTAATATATGACCATATATAACTTATATAACCATTAAACAATAGATTCAATAGATGTTTATTCCCCCAAATACCCGTCCCCATATGGTTCTTTTGAATCACCTTTTTCTGTCACAAAGGACACCGCCTACGTGGGTAAGCCATACAACGTTTGCCCACTCGACAAGATTTGTGGCGGCATCACCTCCTCGAAAGATTTTGAAACGCTCACCAGCCATATACGCACCTCGGAACGAAGATGGATCGACCGCGGATGATCGTGCGTATAATGTATTTTAAAATATTTTAAAATAATATATATATATATATATATGTATGTATGTATGTATGTATGTATGTATGTATGTATGTATGTATAATGTGTATGTGACATATCATGTATATATATATATATGTATATATATATATTACACGATATATGATAGATCTATATCTATATATATATATAGATATAATAAATCATAGTTATAAGTGCTAACTATTATGAATATATATATATACATACATACATGATTTGCACGTGGGCCCAGCAGTTGGCAGTTGGCAGGTCACACAGTTGCTGTGGCTGCTGTTCTGGATGAAGCTTGGCCTGGCACCGGTGAAGTGTATCCCATGCTGCGCGTGACCTTGCTACACAAATCTGACGGTGCAGCGGCTCCCGAAACTACGCAGGGCAGCAATGGCTTAAGGGTCTCCTGTATCAATGGTGGTTGGGCTTTGCCATGCAACCTTCATGTTAAGACTGTGATCCTTGGGATTGGCAAGAAAACACTTTTTTCTCAGTAATTAATTACACTTGTATTGTTTGATGTTGTTCTTGTCATTGTTTTTGCCACATTGTTTTCGCAAAGTGCTTCGCAGCCAAACAATCGCCAGGAAATACTCACAGAGCTTTCAAATTGCTTGGGGTCCAGAGCGACATGGCATGCGAGGAATAAATCCTTTATCTTTGCAAAGCGCGGTTGTAAGCGTCCCTCCTGGCCAGCACCTAGAAAACTTCAGCGACGCTGGGAGAAGGGATGGATTTTCTCTGTGTCCAGAGTTTGTCGCATGGGCCCTGGGAACATGATGAGCAAACAGCTGAGTGTTACCCCGTTGTCCCCATTTTTAGTCATACCAAGATGGATTGGTTTCTGCTTTTCTTTGAAAAGGTCAGGAGTGCACACAGCCATGCATAAGGACACTGGGGTGATTGCAAAAATGCCTCCACCGGCAGGAAATCCCATCACTATGGCTGCTTGGTTTCATACCACACCAGTGAAGATGAGTCGAAGCGAGCATCTGAAAGATCTAGCCCCCCTTGCTTTAGGAAGGTGTGGGGGTGGCTGGAAGAAAATCAACATTGGCAGATATTGACCGTATCAATCTGAAGCAACTGGCTAACATCTCAGGCATGTCTTGGAAGCAGATGCTCGTTGGTTCGATGTTTTCTTGATCACCAGTTTAAGCACCGTGATGCCTGGTCGAATTGCCATTTTCTCCACATTGTTGTTTTCTTCATTGCGTCTGACCATTTTCAACCCTAGCTGGGCCCTAGCTTGTGTTCCTGCACCCACTCTTCTGCTATGTTGAACATGTGGGTAAGTTCTGTAGCATATTTGCTGCAGGTCCCAAGGGGTTTCACCATATTCCCGCATCATCCAGCATCACAGCTTTAGCCATTGTGATTGAAACGCGGAGGTTATCATTGGAGACTCTTGCAACGGGAACATGAAGGGCTTCGGCCAGTGCAACTTTAGAGCGTTCTACGGAGCCTTTGTTGATGGAGCGCCTGATTTTTGTGAATGTGAATGTGCGAAACTGCGGACATCGAAAATGCACCACATCAAATCAGCCAGTGTACATATTGTGTCTCCTGAAGAAAACAAATGCCATAACCATATAGCCAGCTCGTCTTTCTTTTGACTGCACACACTAAGGAGTGAATCTCACGCTGCCATTGCTGCTCAATGCAGCTTTGAAATCAAGTAACTCAGCCAGCATTCTGTCATGGCACTTTGATTTTGGAACGTGATTGCTTCGCGATGTCACGATGCTTCAATAGCAACTGTTTTTGTGATGCTATCGGCTCCAATTATATTAATATACATAGAGCATTATATATATACACATACAAATCAATCTCTCCTACATGTTCGGGCAGTTTGGACCTAATTGTGACTTAATATATCCGCCATCGCCTGCTTCTGGTCTTATCGCCGCAATCATCACGAACATCATGATAATCATGATGACGACATGTGTGTTTTTGCTGATGGAGACGAACATGTGCCATTTTCATAAGTTGGGGCATTTGTACGTATTGACGGATGTGTTTTTTTTTGTCTTAAATACTCTGCGAAGGTAGATGCTAGTGGAAGTTTCATACCGTTCTATACTGTACACTCTTCAATAATCCTGGGTTAAAATTCCTGGGATCACTGACACAAACCATCCCAACCATCCCCCATCCCATGTAACAACGACCGTTGTTTTCCAACACCCTGGCTATTTGCTGGCAAGGTGATCTGTGGTACCTTACAGGTGACAACTTCTATGATCGCTATGGACTTTTTAGCGTGAGTATCTTTGCGCAGTTGAACAAAGAAGCTCAAGGGATTCCACTCCTTGCGTCTTGTCATGAAAAAATGTTCCCGTGGAAAAAAAAGGCTGGACCTGGTGGCCAGGTAAAAAATGATGTACCATCTGGTTATGACATTGCCAGTTTGCCATGGAAAGATCCACCATTTTTAATAGGTAAACCATCTATTTCTAGGCCATCTATACCATGGCTATGTTAAATAACCAGAGGGTAATTTGTTTTCCTTGGACGTCATGTTGTGTGAGAACATGACTGGTTGCCGATAGTACGTTCTACCAATGTGTCACAGGCCACAAAACCTCGCAAGGGTTTGGCTTTGACTGGAATGATCCACAATAACTATCAATAATCATCCCATTCCCCCATTCCCATCCATTCCCATCCATTCCCTACTAAGCACCAGTAAGTTGAGGCAACTCCGGGAAATCATGACTACTGGTTCAATGGCATTCCAAATACCGGTGCCAATTCGTGGCTTTGGGGCTACGACCAGTTTGCCAATGGCCACGCACAATTCTTCGCGCAAGACATTTGGCTGCATCTCAAATAAATGTTACTTCCCAAGTTGGGAACGAACGCACATAGCCATGTTTTTTTAAAAAGAGTTGGTTCCTTTTAAAGTCCCAAATCCGTGCAAAGAATCTGGGGCGCTTCTCAATTGCGCGGCTTGTTTCAAATATCCGTTTTCCGGTGTTTCCTTTGGTGAAACTTCCACGAATACATTCCACGGCAAGTTGCTCTTTCAGCAAGTTGTCAGTCCAAATTCTAGGCCGAAACTTCAAAATGCAAAATTTTGTGAAGCACTTTGAAGTGAAGCATAGTGTGAGGCCAATAAAGTTTATTAATCAGGCTAAATTATAGTGAAGTCAAAAATTAGGCTGGTTTTGCTTGGTTTTACTTTGCTTCTTTGGAGCCGTGTTGCACAAGTAAACAGCAAGTAAGCAGCTGGGCGGTGGCGATTTT